TTAAAACAAGATGGACTAAACTGATTGGGAGCTACAAAGATAGACAGAAGCTTGCAAGTTAATTTCTCCAAATCCTTGCTTACTCTACAGATTTCACACTGAAGGCCTGAGGGGGGAGGGCATGTGCCCAAGGTTGCATAGTTATAACAGTTGTGTAGCTTGCATGTATCTCCCAACCCCCAAACACTTGCTTTTTCCCTCAAACAATGGTAACGCTGGTCTACGTTGAAAAGCCACTTCCTCTAACCCCTTTCCGAACCTCAGATTCGAATAGCACACTTCCTACTACCCCTTCTTGTTCCTTTCCTACTGTTTTCTTCCTGACTCAAGTGCTCGTTCACCTGTCGGTCTTTCCCATAGGGAGTAGTTGCCTCTGAACTTGGAAGGCTGGAACTTTTCTGTCCCACTCACCACTGCCCCTCGTAGGGTGCTTACTTCATATATGTCGAGTGACTAACTGGATGAATCACAGTGCACATGGGATCTGGACCAATGCTCAGGAGTTTGAACATTTAAAGGATGTGTTACTGGACCATCTCTCCCCGTTGTAATTGTCTGAGTGGTTTGCTATGTTGAACACTTGCTGTTGTCATCACAGATGTAGCACCTACACTTGTGACTCTGGGGGCAGAATCTGTCATAGATGTCATGTCAGCAACCACACACACTGCCTCCCCTGCCTCCTTTCTCTTGGCCTGCGGGTTTTAGCAAGCTGCCACTCACCCGATGATTCCCACGTCCCACTGAACACATGCTGGGACAATCAGACCCTCGGGAACTGAGCAGTGGCTTTGTAGGAATGTGGCCCCAGTCATCAGATGGTAGTTTGCTGAATGATGGCCTGTGACTTCCTACCAGCCTCTCTTTCCCCCTTTCTGGCCTTTTCTTCCTCATGTCAATGCTTGCTCATCGTCAATGCTTGCTCATTGGTCCCTCTTCCCCAGGGTTTCCCTGGGTTCCCGCTCTCCCAGACTCTGCCTTTCATTCTGGACCCGCACCCTTGCGAATGCGAGCCTTGCTCCCTTTCTCTGTATTAACTCCAGTGTGCTAGAACAATGAACCGTCACATGAACTCAAGAGTCCCGAGCCGCACATGAGCTAAAGATGCGACTGAGACCACAAAGTAAAGGGAAAGCAAGCACGTCCGTCCACTGCATACATTAGTGATGCGCTCCGCGGTTCCTTATAAAAACCAGTTGCCACCAAGTCCATTCCAACTCGGTGGTGATTTTGTGTACCTCAGAGGAGAACGTGCTTCTTAGGATCACCAGGCCTTCCACTCTGAGGCACCTCTGCATGCACTGGGTGGGCCTCCACCCTTCCCACGTGGCTAACTGTTTACACCATCCAGGGATCCCTGCCATCCGTTGTTGCCCATCTTTAAGCTGACTCTTTACTTGTGGTGATCCCAGGGGACAGAGAACTGTCTAGATTTAATCTGTGCGGGAGCAGATTTCCAGATCTTTCTTCTGCAGGGCTGCTGAGTGGGTTCACACGGTTCGCATTTAAATTCGCAGCTGAGCTCTTAATCCTTAAGCCACCTGAGTTTGGAGGTATTTGCATTTTCTTTCCTTTCTTTTAACTTTTTATTGTGAACTGGGTGATACGTTAGAGAGCCGATGTGCTTTCCATTCCATTCACACCAGTTGTGTCTCATGTCACGGATCTCACATTCCCTGCAGCGAGACAGCACCGATCCCACTCCCTCTCCCTGGTCCTGTTCCATTCAGCCCCTCCCTCACCCTGCCTGCCTTCTGAACTGTGTCCTTGGGCAGCGGCTGCCCTGTGATCTAAAATGGTTGGCCGTCCAAAGAGTGCCCACCTCCCTAGTGTTACTTTTTGCTTCATAGACCTGTCTATTGTTTGGCTGAAAACTGAGCCAGGGGGTGAGAGTTCATTTCCAGGCCTAAAGGCCTTAATCTTGGGAGGTGCACCGATTGCTCTGTGGCCGGTGAGCCGGGGCCTGGGTGAAGCATGGAAGTGCAGATGTATTGAAAGAGGCCTGGGACGGCAGTGTGGGTCCCCACGTGGACTTGTGTAGGGAAATTGGGAGACGAGAACAGAAGGTATATGAAGGCTGGGAAAAGGCCGAAGAGAGAAGATGACATAGGAACTGAAGCTTGAAAGATCAGTAACATTTTTCTAGGGATGTCAAGGAGCAAGACTGGGCGTTTCCTGTTGAATTTGATGTCTTTCCTCCTCCTGATTGAGTCTTGGGTAGGAGAACTCTTTTTAAACTTCTTGACCTTGGTTTAGGGTACAAAAGAGGCTCCATCTTGAATATGAGAAGATTAAGTATTAAAAGAAACAACGACAACACAGACACAGACACACCTCATCTGTGAGGGAGGCCACCGACACGAGGTTGAAAGGCGTCCAGGGTTTGTGGAGATACCGAGCTTTACAAAGGACATGGCTGGGCAAAGGACACTGTCACAAAAGCATGATTGGTGGCAGATCAATACATCCCAATTATAGGTGGGGCTACGGGGTGACAGAAGCAGGAACAAGGAGACCATGTTTGGGACACGTACATTGTTAGATAGAAGGGCTTGCAAGATTGGTCCAGGGCCTTCCAACTGAGGCAGTCAGGGTGAGACAGATAGGGCACAATCGTGACTATATGACCCCTGTACTGTCCCCAGGATGGTGATCTCCATCAAGGACACACTCCAAGAGAGAGACTGTGCCTCCCTGGGCTGGCCAGAATGGCAAGTCGCTCTGTAGGGCATTCTGCTTGAGGGCCAGATTCTGCACATCCGTGGTTAATGAGCAGAAAGCATTCAAGAGAGACTTCATTTACTGGGGACTCTGCAATTGAATATTGGGCTGTCACTGCCATCCATACCCTTTTGCAAACCAGAGTGCTCAAAATGTAAGCTCCAGTGCAACCTAAAGTGCAATTTGTTTTGTCATCCAGACTTTCATGTCATGCTTAGGAGTGACAAATGTCCTTCCATTATACCGATTTCATTGAGCTCATTATTTAAAATGCTCTGCATGCCCAGGCAGATGGACTGTAACCCTTAGTTAAAGCTTCATCAGACCTACAACATAAAAATAATGGAGAAATGGAGCTACAGCTTGGATGTCTCCAGAGGAGGACAGAGTATGGCTGGGGAGGTGAATTAGGGCCAAGTGCATGGTGGCCTAATGTCAACCATACTAGATGCTGACTTTTGTGGGAGATACTTAATTACAGTTCCTTAAGTTCAGGTCAAGAAATGAGATAGGGTAAGATAGGAGTTGTATTGATGATGAAGTCAAATTGTAGAATGTATCTTTGACTGAAAAAGCCAAAGACTGAAAGTCAGCCTTAATTTTCAACCCTGAATCTGGACGCCAGCGCCCAAACTTATGATGTGTTGCCTTGGGAGAGCGGGTACCCACACAACCAACTTGATAGAGGACTGCAGCCCAGCTCACCTCTGTCACACCCAAGCGTAGGGCAGGGGGAAATGTGCATGCGTGCTGCAGGTGTGCAGCTTAGAGAGAGAGAGATCAAAGAAAGCAGAGACCGTGTATGCATAATTGATCTGCCATTCTTGTCAGATAAATCACTCCTGGACACAGAGTGCACATTTTTTTCTCTAACCCTCATTCCTTTTGGAAAAGGGCCTTCCTCCTCTATTTGGAATGATAAGGAATGAAGTTAGAAAGCATCCCTACCACCCAATATGGGAGATGCCATATTTAGAATAATGCCTGCATGTTTGTGGGGGGGGTAGGGGGGAGAAGGGGAGAGATGGTAACTAGACAAAAAGACAATTCCTCAACAAAAGCTCACTTCAGGGTTTGGAAATGCTAATACCCCTACTGTGGAAAAACCGTTCAACTCTGGCGCTCTCTGCCCATCTGCCACCATGGAAATACCCAGTAAATTGACCTTGAAAGGCCCTCTGAGAGGCTCTCTTAAAACTCCACTTGTAAGCTGGAGTCGAACTTAAAAACGAATCCCTTTCTCTAGAAAACCCTTTCCCAAGGAAAAGACCCTCAGGGTGTTGTGGTGAGTTAAGCATTTATTTAACTACCAAATGCAAGGTTCGTCATTCAAACCCACTGGCCAGCAGGCAGGAGAGAGATGGGGCCAGCTGCTCCCACCACGATTTCCTACCTCGGAAACCCTATGTGAGTCCGAAATGGACTCGATGGCAGTGGGTTGGAGGTTTCCTCATTCACACACTTGAGGAAGAAATGAGGGCAAGATCTTAGCTAAATGCTAGCTCTTGTGTTAATGTAAATAGCATTTCCACAGTGGACCTCAAAGAGGTAGGTGATGTAATTGCAAGAAAGCTCCTTGGCTGAACTGAGAAATCATATTTGCTACCAGAAATTTTTGTAAAAAATATTTTCTGCAAAAAATGACTCCTTTGAGGAATACCAATCAGAAATATTCTCATCATCTTAGGAGTCTTTAATGTGTTTGGGAGCTGGGTGTCTAGGGGTCTAGTTCAACAAACCTGTCAACAAGATTTTCTGATTCTGTCCCACAGAGCACCATGCTGTACCTCTATTAATCTACAGCATTCACCGCAACACAGCAACTTGATGAAATTATAATTGAAACATGGTACTTGACCCTGAGGGGCCCGTGGAGAAAGGGATTTGCTTTGGTGGCTTCTCATGCATCATTGAAAACCTGCTGCTGCTCAATCAAAGCCCTGCTTATATCTTAACTATATAAACCATCTATTTATAGATACTGCTCCTTGCCAGCTCCATCGTCTTTTCTCTTCTTGTGTGTCTTTCTATAAATTGGATTACTCTGGTTAATAAAAGTCTTGTGCAATAGTAGGCTTGCTATGTCAGATTCTGATAACTACTGAGTAGAATGTAATTTATCCACAATAGTGCAGTCTCACTAAGGAAAAAACATTGGAATTAAGGGTAATCAGTGAAGTCGTATTCATTTCAGGTGCAGGAGGTAATAAGCGGGGCTAACAAGATATTCCTGAAGGTTGGGTTCCTTCTGGGACTCGCCTGGAAAGAAGACCTGAAAGAGATGCCAAGTTTTACTTATCTTTAAATAAGCAGACTGGCTTCCATCACTCAGGTAATGCTTAAGAACATTTTTTTTTTAAAACTTTGGTTACATTCTGAATTTCTTTTAATTATAAAGTCAGGTGACCCAAATCAATTTAAACCTCAGTATTGCTTCTATCAATAAGGCCGGGACTACTGGCTTGTCACCAAACATTTGCTTTTCCATTTTTCTTGTAGTAATAGAAGTGGTCATCTTGTCACACAAAATAATAAGTACGTGTCCCAGACTCCGTTGAAGTTAGTTGTTGCATGTGACGAAGTGTTTACTGTATCAAATCTATTCTTGAGAAAGTCTTGAAATTCGGGTGGGACATACTCACGGTTGTACTTGGCCTCTCATGGACTTGCTTTCATTTTCTTTAAACTCTCCCTGAACTTACATATGAGCAATTGATGATCTGTTCCACAGGGGGCCCCTGGCCTGGTTTTAGCTGCAGATAGTGAGCTTCTCCATCGTTTGTCCTGGCCCCCCCAAAAACCCCATGCCCGTTCACAGCGACTCCTACCACAAAGTAGAACTTCTCCAGTGCGTTCTGAGACAGTCAATGCCTGAGGAACCACTGGTAGTTTCGAACTGTTGACCTTGTGGTTAACAGCCCAATTTGTAACTACTACACCACTAGGGCTCCTGCAGGTATAATCACTTTTATTTCTTGGTACTCCATTTGGTGACGTCCACATGTGTAGTCACCCTTTGTGTTGTTGGAAAAAGGTGTTTGCGATGAAAAAGTCATTGATCTTACAAAATGTTATCATGTGATCTCCAACGTCATTCCTTTCACTGAGACCCCCCCCACTACTGTTTTTTCCCCTTTGTTTCCAACGTTTGCATTCTAATTGCCAATAATTATTCATGCATCTGGAGTGCGTGTTTGATCAATTTCAGATGGAAGACATTGGTAGAATGCTTCAATTTCTGCATCATTAGCTTTAATGTTGATGCATACATTTGAATAACAGTTGTAGTGATTGAATGTCCTTGTGTTTGGATAGACACTATCCTATCCCAGCAGTAGTTGTTTGTGCCCTCAGGTCCTCCCTGTCTATAGGACAGAGGAGACCTGCCCTCATGGGGTTTCCAAGGGAATCAGGTATCTCCTATCCTATTGGGACCATCCTTCATGAAACTCGTCACTTCTTGCTCCCTTGCTTTGATTAGAGTTTCCCAGCGTCCCGGTTTCTGAGGGGAGGAAGGGATGCTGATGTCTGGCAATTTCTCCTAGTGAGATGGACCTCTAGTCAAAACCTCTCTGAGCCAGGAGAGAACAGATGTTTTGAGAATGATGATGGCAACATATCTACAAATGTGCTTGACACAATGGATGTATGGATGGATTATGATAATAAAATGATTTTTTAAAAATGAAAGAAACAAAAAACAACTTTCTGAGCTCTGACAGGTAACATGAAGCAGTTACCTGTCTCTGAGGAGAGTGTCTTCAACTAGTGTCTTCTTCCCTCAGATCTGTGCGTCCTGGGCCAATGCTCGTTTACCGGCATCTTTACAATCCTGCTCGCTAAGTTGGCTGAGGGATTTATGTTCAGAAATATTTTTAATAAAATATCTTTTCAAAGGAGGCCTGGGGGTGGGAGTAATGCATTGGACTGCTAACTTCAAGGTCAGCAGTTTGAATCTACTAGCTGTTCTGAGGGACAAAGATGAGGCTGTCTGCCTCGGAAACCCACAGGGCCAGCTATTCTGACCTATAGGGTCCCTATGAATCAAAATCAACTCAGGCAGTGAGTGAACTCTTATTCAAAGAGCATGGGACTTGGAATTAGATGAAGTTTGGTTCAAAAACCAGTACTGAGTCATTTAGTCTTTTTTTTTCTCAACAGTTTTATTGGCAAGTAATTTGTCATTTGGTCTCCAGTCAAGTATCCCCTTGATAGCAGTGAGTTAGATATATAAAAAAAATCATCAGTCATGACTTAATGTCCATTGTACCTCAGCTTCCTGATCTGCGAGGAATGTTCTATGAAGGTAAATCAGCAAGCATTGCTACCAGAGTTCAGCTCATGCGCGCATGGGCTTATTGCAAACAAAACATGTTCCAAGGGGTCTTGGCTGTCAGTTCTCTCAGTCACACCCTCGTCTTCATCTTGGTAGGATGCCTCCAGCAACAGCAACAAGAGGCCCAGTCAAAACTAGCTTCTGAGGGGATCTGCTGGGTCAGGAAAGTTCAGGGCTGACAGTTTAGCTCAGAAGGTTATGGCTACTATGTTAGGGGATCCCAAAGGGGTAGTTTGGGTATACTTTATGCATAGGATGATCATGAGAATTTAGGAAGTTTTAAGAAAATTCAAAACTGCATTAATGAAGAAAAGACCAGGAAAGTTGCACGGAGGAATTTTTTTTCTTCCAGCATGACAGTGCACTTGTTCATTCTGGTGGTAGCCAGGGCTTTCCTATGAGAATTTTGCTGAAAAAATTACCCCATTCACCCTACAGCCCTGATCTCGCCCCTGTAGATTTGATTTTGTCCCTTAAATCAAAGAACATTGAAAAGGGGCATAATTTGTTTTCCTTGTGGATGCCCAGTTAGAGAGATAGAAGCACCACCTTTAGAAATATATAGACCTACATGAAGGAGTTGTGTAGAAACAATAGCTTTCCATTTTGGACTTTTTGTTGAATAATGGAGCCTATGATTTTGTAGCAAAACTTTTTATTTACCCAAAGGCTTATTATGATAATTTTAAAGTTACGTATTTTATCAAAATCATTGTGTTACCTACGATCATAACCCAAGCAATGAAAACATTATGATCATCAAATTTAAAATGCCAATACTTACATTGCTTTGGTCTACCCTGCAGGTGGTTTACATACTTCAGGAGACCAGAGCTGTGTGGAATAAATCAAATTACATTAATCGAGGTTTAAAAATATCAAATTATATTAATTGAGGTTCCAGCTCAGACTCCTTGTAAAACATACCCCACATCAAAGCTTTGTGTGTTCTACTCTAAGGTTCCAGCCTTCATCATTAAAAAATATATATATATCTTATTGTATTTTTGGTGAAGGTTTACACAGCACATTAGGTTCCCATTTGGCATTATCTGCACCAATTGATGACATTGCTTGCATTTTTCACAATACAGCAACATTTTCTACTTACATCCTGATTGTTCCATTGACAGGACTCTAGTTTCCCTGCCCGGAGCCTTGAAGGCATAGAGGGCTATGCACTGAGCTGCTAACCCCCAGGTCTGAGGTTTGAGGCCGTCTACTGCTGTAAACAGTGACAGTCTCGAAACCCACAGGGCAGTGAGTGGGTTTCCCTGCCCCCTTGGCTCCTCATCTGTGCATTATAGCCGTTGTTGACCTGTGGTCTCCTAATGATATTTGCTTGTCTTAATGGATCCACTCATGGATAATGTCTTTTAAAAATATATAAATGGAACAAGCCTTCTGACTGGTTTTCTCAGGTTCCCCTGTAAGAAAGAAGACCATGTAATATTATCATCCAAGTGGGACACTTTTGATAGTGAAAGGGAAGTCCTCTATCAATCAATTACTCAAGGACAGCAGGTTGAAAATTGAGACTCTCCCTGGATGTATTGTCATCTAACTGTAAACCAAGTCATCATTTCAGTGCAGAAAAGGAGTGGAAAAGGAGTGTTCTATACAAGCAAAAGAAGGTCAGGTGGCACAGTAATTAAGTGCTCACCTGCTAACTAAGGTCAGCGGTTGGAACTTACCGGCTGCTCCGCAGGAGAAAGCTGTGGCAGTTGGGTCCATAAAGAGTACCGCCTTAGAAGTGCTATGGGACAGTTCTACTCTGCCCTACAAGGTCGCTATGACTTGGAATCAACTCAATGGCAATGACGTTATATAAAGGGAACCCAAATATTATAAGATCTCTTAAGGTAACCATTTCATCATTTTACCTTCTGGCGTGCAAACATTTTTCAGTGGAGGTTCATCAGCGTTGTACCATATTAGTGCTGAAAGAGAGGCTATTTGGCATTTCCTTTGCCACCAGCAATGACTCTATCCCTCAGAGAGAACTGACCAGGGGTTCACTCCCGGAGAAGAGAAATTCAGATCTAAGCACAACGGAAAACACTAGCAGAACTTCTGGGAGACCATTGGATTTTTAGAGTAAACTTTTCAGATATAGAAAGCCAATCTTCCAGTGTGGGTTTGAGGACTGAATGCATTTTTGAAATAACATTGAAATTGTTGTCTAGATAGTGTTGCCTGTGTGCTGTTGCCTCTGACAAATGAAATTACCACATGCATATTGGCACCTCCAGTCACCTGTGGATTCAGCCTTATTCATAACTCAGCCTGGTGGGTAATGTAGCTGTCCCTCCAAATCCCAAAGGGGGAGCTTTAGTAAATGTGCAGAAGCCTTTACCTGGATAGGTGGAGGGTCACTAGGTCATAGCTGGCCAAGAGCAGGGTCAGCAAGCTATGGCCATTGGCTGGCCAAGTCCAGCCGTGCTCATTCACCTGTCTACAGAAGGGCAGTGGTGAGTGGTCCCAGACCGAAACTATTTACTGTTTGGCCTGCAGTGGTTTCCTGGGGCTGGCATGACAAGCTAGCGCACACTGGGTGGCATCACACAACAGAAATGTGGTCTCTTCCAGTCCTGGAAGCAGGCGGAGTTAGGCCTCTTCGAAGGCTCTATCCCAGAGCCCGGCAACTACCCAAGGTCCTTGGTTCATGGCAGCACAACCTAACCATCGGCGTCCGTCTTCACGTAGTCTTCTCCCCTTGGTGTCTCCAGATAGCTTTTCCTCAGCGTGTTAGGCTGACGCTACTCCAGTAGGACGCCATGTCAGGCACTATCTGCAAATAAGGCCTTTTAGAGGTAAGCAGGAAAAGAAAGGGCTAGAACTTCAACATGTGATTTTAGGGGACACAATGCATCCTTTCACATGGTCCTTGACAGAAAACGTGGATGGGTCCGAGGCCCAGGGGGATCTGTTTTTCAGGAGACTCTGATGTATGTCTGATGAACGTCAGACAGCAAGTTGCATTCTCTGTGGGCTAA